AAATATAGTTAGAATAAATTGGAAATCGTTCTGTTTTGCTATTTATCCCGATTCGTGCATCGCCTTATAATTTTGTATCATTTTTCACAAAATAATCATTTTTAAAAAAAAAACAGAGTGAGCAAATGATCTGAAATTTTGCACACAGGTTATTGATCTTAGCATTTTACTTATGTTTACAGATATATTTTTCGTTATGTAATATAAAAATAAATAAAAAAATACGATAAAATACCGCGAGCGCTGAAGCTTAAATGAAAGGAATAAATAGAGACAGCTCATTCAAAGCCCATGTTGCCCAAATTCCTTCATTACTAGTATTTGCGCAATCCAACAAAGCGCAAAATAAAATAAAACAAAATTTATAAATATAAATTAACAATAAAAATAAAAAGAAAGTTAGAGGAAACAATAATGAATTTTATGGTAATACTGATTTTTGTATTTTTGAATATTTACGTTAGTCATCGGGATTTTCCGTTATAAACGAGAAATTAACGTGTAATTATCTAACCATATCATCTAAGTTTTGTTTACATTTTTTTTAAAGGATAAACAATGTTATCTTCCACATGACTGACAATATTTAAATATAAAAGTGTTTAATATGGAAAATCAAGGTAAACCATTTAAATTTTAAATTTTAATATGATATTATTTTTTTTAATCAATACAACAACACCTGTTTGCTTATATCATCTTTTTATTCATAATGTTTTACATATAATTTTCGTTTGATAACTTATATGTATACTTTTGTTTATTGATATTTAACCGTTATAGCTCTTACAAGGCGAAGATAAGTTACATAAATGCTATGATTTATTAGGACTAGCACCATTTTCTTAGTCTTACAGTCTTACAGTCTTACATCAATAAATGATTTTACTAAGGTAACAAACTTGTTTAAATGAAAAAAAATGAGAACAAAGACCCACAAAGGAGAGCAATGTCAAAGGGACACAGTTCAGACAACTCCTGGTCACACACGACCACAAGAAAGGCACTAAATGAGGCACGGGATCAAATTGCATATTCATCTAACTTAAAACAGTAGCCACTGGTATGTCTTATATCTTATTTATGACGAACAGTTGACGAACTTGTGTATATAAAAGTGATCGCATAATGGCGACAAAGATGTTCCAGATACATAAACAACAGAAACACAAGTACATTTACTAGTATATCAATTAAATTCTGAAATCAGTATGATCCTCACGTTAGTTATGATTAAAAGCTTGAATAGTTAAGGTCGTTAACTTCAAACTACTTGCTTCATATTACATGTGTATACATATTTCACAGGTTAAATATCCTTTTACTGACCTATGTACAGATATTGGTAGACATACTTAATTTTACATAGTGTAATGTGAATTGATTATGTATGTTTATATATTACCATGCTCTTCTCAAATATTGTAACCGCCGTCATCATGTTAAAGGAGACGGACATGGAATGTTCATATGCTGAATAAAGAATTGAATTGCTTCTTACCACTGTGTATTCGGGCCGCGCAAGCGTCGTTGGATTCTTCATGTGTCTGGCATACGGAACGCCGGTGATTCTACTGAAGCCTGAAATAATGTACAGAGGGGTACCTGCGGTCTTCCTCCACCAGTAAAGTCACCATATGACCTATACTGTGTAGTAGTGACGTAAAACCCAACCAAAAACAAAGTGGAAAAGTAATCAGTTTAAAGCAGCAAAGACTGATACGGAATTATCTGAAATAAGTAAACTAGATCTAAAACATCTGATATATATAAATGTTTTTATGACAATAGTTTTTACATATTTGACTGAAACAAAATGATTAGGAGATAAGAACAATTCAAAGTGTCAAAATTGATACATGTACTAATATTTACTATGAAAAAGTAAACAAAATTGTATAGAAAGTAAGAGAATACAGAAGATAAAGATGCCAATCATTAAAAGACCACATGTTTTTATAAAGCGGGTGATGTTTTTTTTATGTCTTTAAATAAGCAAGGTTGGAGAAGTACAATTACATGGTGCCTATACTACTTTACATTTTATTATAGCATAAAATCGGCTATTTTTCCCTCTTTTGCCCATGTTATAACGGGACCAAAACCATGTGTTAACATAGTCACGCGCTCCTGTTATAGCCCGGTTTCACCTATGCGCAATACACACAGGGCCCAGTAAACAAACAAACAAAAAATGACGATTTGGCCTGTTTGCCGAAGAGTCGTGCGCTCTTGTTATATTGAAATTGATTGATTCGAGGACCTCAGTCGCATATTCAAGTAACTATGACGGAAAAACGGCGTATAGACATCGGTGCTAATCTTGGTTGTCGCCCTTTCTAAGAAACAGAGAGTTGTCAATGTAAACAAATACAGTAGAATCTACCTGTCATTCAGTTTAACACTCCGATTAACTTACAAAACTAGATAACACAAAATTAATATGAGAAAATGTTTTTTATTTATGTTAATGTTGATAAATGCTCTTTATATTTCTTTGAGAGAATAATGCTTAGTGCCTGATTTTTTTTTATAAACTTGTTTGCTTGAAAAAAAAAACCGATTCTCATGTCACTGATCTTTTTTCTACCGTCAATCTGAAATCATTCTAAGAATTTCTGAGGGTCATGTTTTGTCTTGGATAGAGGGTAGAGTAATGTAACGTTTTTTTTCTTTAGATAATAAATCTCCAAAGGCCAAGCTTTGTTAAATCAATTAAAATTCAAAATTTCGTTCGGTTCCGGGAATTTTCCAAGTTGTTGGCCCCGGAAAAATGAAACGCATACGTAAAACATAGAATTGGATAAATACCGCCCAAGCACAAGAGTTTAATGTAATTGTGTTTTGTATAAACTATACATCACGAATCTGTTTAAAAATTTTATGCTATAATAGCGTCAACGCACGTTTATTTCGTGTTATAAAGTCTGCAGAGTCCCTCGGAACTGTTGGAGCCCTCGCCCTACCGGGCTCGGGCACCAACCGTTCCTCGGGACTCTGCAGACGTTATAACACGGAAAACGTGCGTTAACCCTATATTATATGCTTTGAAGACGGTCCATATCATTTTAATTTTTCATTTTTTTTTCAATCGAATAAAGTGTAGAACCCTCTCATTCTAGTAAGTAACACATACATAGAATGTTTTAAGGGGTAGACATCAGTATATTTTACAAAGAGTGAAACCGCGTGTTTGAACAATCAGTTTTTTCCCAACATTCTTTGTATAGCTTCCTCACTAGAATGAGGGGGCTCTATTCTATCCAGAATTGGTTTTCTGTACCACGAAGGTCACACTTAGTCACGTGGTGAAGGCACCTTGAATTACAAAGCATTGATAGATAATGTATTATATGCATAAAAGAACTATGGCGAAAGAAATATGACTATATGTATACAAATACAAAAATGTACATTTTAATTTATAAATATATAGAGGATATTTGTTTGTTTGTGTGTAAGATAAAATTTTATTTCATCGAGTGAGCTTTAAAAACAGTATTCTCACGAGTGGCGTAGCTTCGAGTGAGAATAATGTTTTTAAAGTTCACGAGATGAAATGAAATTACATCTTACACAACAAACAGACAAATTTTCTTTTTATTTTATGCTTAAAAACAAGTTAAAACGAAATTTCCATAATTTTAACGTTAATATTAAAATCTGTTTCCCCCATTGAGAGCCCCATTTAGACGGAATTTCTCATTTAAAACAAGAAGTCTTGAGCTGAAAAATAAGTCCGCCAATCAAGGTTAAATGACGGTGATATTTATTCATTTTATTAAAAAAATATGAATGATCGCTTGTTTTAATAATAAAAACAAACAATTCTTGCAGGAGAAAATTCCAACCATCCATCCATATTTCTGTTACTTACTGCGAATTTATATTAGACCTGGCTTTCTAAAATGTAAACGGCAGCCATTTTTTAAAGTTGTGTATTTCATGGGAGGTTTATAATTGTGTAAGATTCAGAAGGATATAATTTGGATTTGTTAGTCATACACCTTTTTAAAAGAAAGAAAACTTATTTGAGGATTGTAACAGACAAAAAATAAGTGTTGACAGAAGTGAAAACATTCAGAAAAGGAGCTAGGAAAATGGAAAACTTGGAAGTTTGCTGAAGGAACGCTGGGTTGTTTTACTTATTTTACGAGTGATGGCTGTCAATGCTTTTCAATTTTTCATAAAGCATACGGCAGTTATTGCTCGTAGGATACTTTAATATGCCCAAATGTCATCAAGAGCAGTTTTGCATGGGGAAGGAATGTATTTTTCAGACTGTAAAAACGAAACAAACAAAAAATTAGAGACGAAATTTGGTGATTGGAATTTGAAGGAATAGAAGTAAGTTTTCTCTCTGTGTTACTTTTGACATTTAAGTTATTTATCTATTTCAGCTTTGCTAATTCTTTTAACAGCCTGACATTGTCAGAATTGTCCGTAAAAATAAAATTGAGGTACCACATGGGGAAAATCTTAAAAAAGTAGTTTCGTCATTGAAAAAAGTGAAATTATATTTTGATAATTTTCACTGTGAAATTATCAAATATAATTTTCACGGATAAATCAGTAATCCACTGAAAAGCATAAAATAAATGTATACAAATACAAAAATGTACATTTTAATTTATAAATATGAAAACACAAGTGACAGTAATGTATTCACGGTTATATTCACAGATATCACATTAATTGATATAATTATAACTTACATTTACCCGAAAAAAATATCTCTAGTTTTCAAGAAAACAATTTGGTAAGTTCCAGCACCCGGCAAAATGATATATGTACTATCTTTGTTGCCCAGTGCAAACAGCTATATAAAACACTACTCAACGCTATTATATGTAGTTTTACTACATGTAAAAATAGACACAAAAATCACATCATTTTGTTAATATTATTTGCAATATTTCAGTTTCGTTAAGTGTTATTGAACATTTGAATAAAAACATCATTCACCTTTTCTTATTCCAGCGATTGTAGTATGTTCATTATTTTTGAAGATTTTACAAAGGTATAAACATACGATGACAAAATGACTGATAATAAGAACGAAAAAGCAGAAGTTGAACAATCCTATTTCGATACATCAACAAATGATCAAACAAATAACGTTCAATGTGAAAAACATGAACATATACAAATCACCGAGGAAACCAGCGACGATTCTCTCAATCTCGGACAAATTATCAAAGAGACGGGAGATTTCGGACGCTTTCAAGCGCTTTCGTTTGCATACACGTCTATTGTTATAGTTACTTTAACATGGAGCATGCTAACTATGGTATTCACGGCCACTATACCGGACTGGAATTGCATCATTACCGACGGTTCTGGCAATTTTACGTCAGAATCAAAACAATGTAGCGTCAACGGAAGCGGATGTGACGCATTTACATTTGAGCAAGACATGAGTACAGCAGTCAGTCAGGTAAGACAAAGTTCCATAAAAGTACTGATATCTAAAATGTAAACACAAGTTTCATACTTTGTTTATTTGGATTTACGGGGCCCCAACACTATTATAGATTATATGGCTCCGAACTAGGAAATGTGATTTTGGCTAACCTCGGATGTTACAAACTTTAAACGAACACTGTGGTTAAAATTACCTTACCGAGATACATAGACTCCAGTTATTCGGGCCCATTTAGTCGCCTGTTACGATCACGCAGGGATAAACGGTGGCTGCAATTCTTATGCTTCAACCATTGAAGGCAACCCCTCAGACACAAGGGCAAATTTCATACATGCACTGTTTATTAGGCAGGTCCACAAATGTTTATATTGTACATACTGTCTTTTTAGAAGCAAGAGTGATACGTTTTAGTTGCTTACAATTGTTTTTGTTAAAATAATGACTTTTTTCAACCTCAAATATTATGAGTTACGAAAAGGTTTATCGTAGTACATGTATTTTAAATTTCAAGTGGTCATTTTTTTCTCTCTTCTATTCAAACAGTGGACGCTAGTTTGTGACAAAAAGTGGGTATCTCAAACCATTACAACTATTCAGATGACAGGATTACTGGTTGGAGGTCTGTTGTGGGGCCATATATCGGATGGTATCGGGAGAAAACCAACATTTTTCTTTAATCTAGCCCTTCTTGGTGTTTGCAACCTCGTTTCGGTATTTTCCGTAAATTGGGAAATGTTTGCAGCAATGAGATTCGTTATTGGATTTGGATGTACTGGCTTTATGTCAGCATCGTTAACTTTCGAATTCATCCGAAATAAATGGCGCGTGTATTTGATTCTGGTTCCAAGCTGGGCGTTTTGGGCTTCGATGATGGCAGTGTTTTGTTGGAGAGTACCAGATTGGAGGTTTATACATGTTGCGGTAGCTTGTGTTACATTACCTGGTCTTCTTGGATGGTTGTAAGTATGTTATCATAATAAATATACAATTATCACATTTAAATCTTTTCAATATAACTAGTTTTTCCCTCCTTTCCACTGACAGTGTACTTATTACTTAGTTGTTCTTCAAAATCAATACATCTAAAATACAATGTATTTCAATAAAACTACATGTATAAACAATTGTAGCTGACTTATAGCTTAGTTTAAGATGTCACTTTGGTTTGTATGAACATGCCTGTTATGGACTCCTGACGGTATACAAAACTTAACAATGCGTTAAAATGATTCGCAATAATAGCTTTTACATCCAATTATATTTTTCTAATTATCTTTCAAATGTTTTAGTAAAATATACTTTCAAAAAAGTAGGAAAATAGAAATAATCGAATTTCGTTTTAGTCTTCTTCCAGAAAGTTTCAGATGGCTAGTATCACACGGGCGCCTAGAGGAGGCTGAAAATTCTATAAAATATGTAGCTAAAATTAACGGCAAACCACCGCCAGATCTGACAAAATTGAGGGCAGTTATAGAGAAAGAACAACAACTAGCAAAGGAAACTAAAGCTCTGCAAGTGTATACAGTATTGGACTTGTTCAAGACGAGCAGGATTAGGAAAACGGCAATATTGTTTGCGTTGATCTGGTAAGTATTTTCATTGATTGATTTGTAAGGTTTGATATGTCTAGGAATAGTTATATCGACCGGTTTAGAAATTAATTATAAATCATATTTAAAAACTTTGCAGCATTTGTATTTATAAAACATTGTACAAATGTATATGAAACAATTTTACCTACATCAACCATGCATTTAATAAATCTATATTGTAAAGGATGTATCTTTTATCGAGGATATGTAGTGATATTTTGTTGTAGAAATACGCATTTACTCACTTATCATTGGATGACTAAAAGATAAAAATACACTATAAAGGAACAATACAAACGGTCATACAGGGGCATGCTAACCTGATTTGGATGTTGTTGTTTTTTTTTGTCGTTTTTTTAAATCAAGATCCATTATAATTTTACAAGGTTTTAATTTCTTTTCAAACTAATAAATGACAATTTATTATGCTAATTCTTTCATTAATTGTCGTGTTTGCTCGTCATTACAGGTTGTTTTCGTCATACAGTTACTATGGTATTGCATTCGGTGTACAAGAGTTGGCCGGCAGTCTATACCTGAACATGTTCCTTGTCAGTATTGTCGACATACCGGGCTATATTCTTGTTGTCATTTTTAACACATGGTAAATGTTTTAAGCAAGAGAGTATTGATAGATCCCTACTCTGACCTTTATTTGAATAACAAAATATTTAACCACAAACATTGACAAACAAATAGGTTGTGGTGAAATTGTTATTGTTTCCACTTATCTGATAATAAGAATTAGATAGGTCAGGGATCTATGCATTGATGGAGTTGTGTCTCGTGACATAAAGGTTGATCGTATATTTCAATTCTATCTGAAATTATTTTTCTGTAGCGCATATTTGCTGTCTTTTTAATCTAAAATAAACTTTATCGATAAACAACATTCAATTAAGCTTAGTGTTTTATTATAAATACTGATTGTTCTGTTAAGTATCATTTTTAGGTTGCACCACTGTGATTTTCATAATCATGTGCACAATTGCAAAATGTGAACTTTCTATTTTGTTCTATATTTTCATATTTTCTTGAAATCGTGTTTTATTTTTTATCCATGACCTAGGATCATTAGACTTTTTAAAACAGTCGACAAGTATAAAGAAATATAATTATGTTAAAAGAGAAAGAGTGAACAAGTCATTTTTACTAAAATGGTAGGAGAAACACATTTACTTAAATAGATGAAAGAAACAAATCGAAACCTTGACTATAATCAAGATATAATTGCTATTCCGTCTTAAGTGCTTCTGAATCAGATATCGTATTCTTCAAATAATGGTATTTCTCGCTTTATTTATGCAACGGACTTCGAACTTATAGTCATAGGGATATAATGATGAAAACGTTGAAGTTAGTCAGACAACTGGGCCTGAGGTTGTTATGAAATTTCTTTGAACTCTAACTCAGATCTCAAGTATTTGATTGGTCAGAAACCGCAACAGAATGTACACTGACCAATTAATCAGAACTCGGAAAAAATGTTTTATAACTTTCAGTCCTGTATTGGGACAGGTCAGACTGCGACGACGGTACTGGCTTGTTTTGTACTGTACTGGTGTTAAAAGCTCTTGGGTTTTAGGTTGGAGCATTGAAAGGCTTACTATATTTGTCGTTCTGGTTATATCATTATCAGTATTAAACAAATATTTTATGAACAAACCATTTCAGCGGAGGACGAAAATGGACATGTGTTGGCTTTTACCTTTTAGGGGGAATATTTGCAGTAGTTGTCGGAGTGTTTCAATATATAAGTAATTTTATCTTTTTTAAAAAAGACCCTTTACATAATTTTTTTCTGTTTTGCTCGTATCTGAATAATGCTTTCTTTTCTTTTATCTTGATATATATTTTTCTATTGATTTCTTCATGTAAAAAGTGAATGTAAAGCGACACTTAATATCTTAATCTTAATAAAGGAAAACGCTCAGATAATATTTGAAATCTTTGACCTATCATCCTTGACAAAGATCCATAAATAGCATTGTTGACTTCCAATGTTGCAAATGAGTAACAATGGAAAATTATGAGCTCTTTGAAAATATGACAAAATAAAACTCTTCTTTTATTCTAGACTTTTCAATCTCTGGAAGTGCCTTAAATAGTTTAGCACTTGCGGCAAAGCTTTGTGTCAGTGCAGCCTGGGAAATTAACACACTCTGGTCAAGTGAATCATTTCCAACTGTTGTAAGGTAATTAAGAATAAAACGTTGGTTAAAGTTTCCTACTTTTATCTATGACAGAATACTTATTTCTGATTTAATGTGATATTTTGAGATAATTTTTACTGCCTGGAGTTGTATTATATATTTATCTTTTAAGTTTATGCTTTCTCAACACAAATTATCAACGCCTTAATTAAAAAAAAATACTTGTATAAACCAATTACAGTTTCTAACAAACTAACATTCATATCACTAAAAATAAAGTCAGGATTTCTGTTAAAATTTTTTGAAAAAATATGTATTTTTTAAATGAGTATATACTGATTCAGTTTTCAACAATATGTGAATAACATGCAGTTATGTTATACTATTTTTATTTGGTTCTACTGTTTAAATCTTATACCCGAGGTGTTCCACCACCATCCAAGCTGGAAAGTCCCAAAATGACATCCAATGTGCTGGTGTGACGTACCCCCTCCCCCAATCTCCCCACATGTACCCTCTCCTCCATCCCCCAAACACCCGCCCTTTAATCATTAATAATAATATCATAAATAATATCATTATCTTTATATTTTATATATTTTCAGAAATATCGGCGGGGGTTTTATAAGTTCAGTATCTAGGATAGGCTCCATGGTTGCTCCACAAATAATATCCTTGGTATAGCATTTTATCTCAAAATTTGCTGAAAACATATGAAATTCTTTCTCTAGTTAATAAACTTTATTCCTTCCCATTAGTTTCATTTATTGTTGCGGAAGTATAGAAAATTAAGTATTATATAAATAGTTTTGGAAAACTTTATCCTGAATGTTATATTTGAGCATGTAAGGATGTTTTCTTTTTTTAGTTTAAAAATAATCAACCAAGAAAAAGATATTCATGATAATTTCATTTTTACAAATAGTATCAAATTATCAAATTTTAGATGACGATATCAAATTTGAAAAGATGATTAACAATAGATTAGAATGATAATTTATAAACAATGACTTTTGCAGTTGAAATTACAAGTGCAGAAGCATGATCTGATTTCTTTTTAAGGTTCATTATGCCTCAGACATCCATATATTTTTAATTGATCTGAAATGTTAAACGTTTGAATGCATGTTAGATGTTTTACAACTGAAAAGGTAGCGCTGAACATAAAGTGATGTGTCGTAAAGGTAGCAAAAGTTTAACAGAGTAGTATTTTGACTTCCATTCAAAATATTAATTCACAATAATTATACCAATTGCCAACATAACTAGAGATGTAAAACATAGTTCTTGTAATGCAAATGTATATAGCAAATGAGTATGCTTTTGGAAACTGTAACAAGATAACAAAATAAACAGTTTTTTTAGAAATAAAGCTGATATCATTTCTGAGGTATAAGCCTTTAAATGCATATAATTATATTTTCATATTTCTTTACTAGAATGTATCATCAATTTTCAGAGTGTAGACAGACCAGGGCTTCTGTATTTGGTATGTGGCGTCGTATGTGTATTGTCGTCTGCTATGTGTGCTCTTCTTGAGGAGACAAAAAACAAAGATCTGAGTGACATGTTACCACAGAAAACAAACAAAGTTGCCGACGGTGGCGTCTACATCGAGAAAACCCTGTTAAACATTGAGTCGATAAAGGATAATTAAAGCAAAAGAATGTGAACTTACCTGGCCCTGGTGCGTCCCTTATATGTACAAGAGAAGACGTCCGGGTCATCAAAGATGTCATTATACTAATATATACTAATATGTAAACAGAACATTTAGTCTAGATACTATTACAGAACAGAACAGACATTTTATTTTAGACTTGAACATAGTACATTTCCACAGATAAACAAAATAGTTATCTCGTCACGTGGTTATAATAACACAAAATATAATATGATACTCATTTAAGTAATAGAAAATACATTTGTTTACAAAGATAATGTTAAGATATGCTATTAGAAACATAACTGTAGTAGACATCCTACTGGCAACCTCACAGGATATTGTATACCATATTTTACCCAGTGAGTCTAACTATCCCTCTCTCCCGATAAGGGCGAAGGATAGATGTTAACCAGCAGCAAAACTATATACATGTATTTACTTATAGAGCGAGAAATTAGTGAATTACCTGAAGATTATATTAAGTAGTTCTCAAAAAAAAATTTCTAGAAATAGAAATACAAGAATAGATATATCATCAAAACAGAATATTCTGTTAATGCAATTATTTAATTCTAGACTAAATGAATCTGGTAAGTCTTTCAACACATGCAATGATCAATAAAATCATACAGTTTGGTACTAAAATAAATTTGAACTATATTAAGCGTAACGTAACGTCTATGTTTTAACTTTAGTTTGATTGTCTAGGAAGCTTAAAGCTTATAGACAAACTCTCGAATCCGTTCCTGGAACCAACCAGTACTGAGCAATGAGTGCAAAAGTTCTTGTTCAAGGAAACAACGGCCCGCCCCTGACGGGGTTTGAACCAACGCGGACAGCGATTCTTAGATGACGAATCCAACGCGATAACCACTTGGCCATGTTGCCATTTGATAACAAGGCTGTTGAAACGGATGTAAGTCGGTATTACAAAGGAGATGTTGCAGTTGCTATTATTTTTGGGAACGGACTCCGTGCACCCGCGTCTGCGATTTTGAAATGTCTATAGGGTTCATCGCTCCGCAGGAATCTTCCCTAAAAAGAATTTTACACAGAAAATTATTGCAGCGCAAGTACAATGGATAGGTGTGGATATTGCAAATAAAAATCATATTGCGATATATTGTCATATTTACAGACGTATTGAAATATATTGCGATATATTGTGAACTATATATATAATATGCTTGAACATCAAGAGTAAGACCTACAGAACCTTGACTTTAAGAGTTCATTGTCCCATGTAATTGCTGTGTGAGAGGTTTAATAATAAACAAGAAAAGCATTGATGCAAAGCATCAAAGGCGACGCCAAAAAAATTTGATCAAGTTTTGCACCTAAATACTTAACAAAAGATGTGTACTTTATAGCAGTACCATTACATGTGACCCGGAGGATAGGCCCAGTTTAAAGAATATACTCTGTCTTGCCAAGATGCAAAGACAATTTATAGTCAATTAACCAATCACTTATAAGACTCATGCCAAGAGAGAATTTCTTCAGATTTATTTTACCAGATACAAGGATACCCGAGTCATCAGCATATAATAAAAGCTTATTGCTTAGGGTTGCAGACATGTCATTGACATATATAAGACATCAAAGAGGACCTAAAATGAACCTCAGGGGGACACCATAGGTACTCAGAAGTGTATAGTTCACTAACTCATTTTTTTAAGTAAATTAACTTATTTAATTTAGGTGAATTAATGCTTAAAATACATCATAGATGATGATATACAGTCCGATTACACACAAAAAACAAGTACAACAAAACGTAAGAAATACATAATCTGGTTGGCTCAGTGTGCATGACTTGTTAGCTTTGATAAATTACATTTTCAGCTGTGACAATAAAATGCTACCCTGTTAGACCTAGCAATAAAATGTCACCCTGTTAAAACTAACAATAATATGCTACCCTGTTAGACCTAACAATAAAATACTACCCTGTTAGAACTAACAATAATATGCTACCCTTAGAGAACATCAACAATGTTATTAGATCTTTACACACGCTGATTTTTTATAAAATATTGTCATTTGTCGTTTTGTAATTTCCTAATTACTGGTTCTGATGTATAGATTTATATACTGAGCAATATCTAGAGTATATTTTAAGAGTTATGGCTATTCATTATAAACATAAGTCATGTTTACAAACTCATTCTTACATTCTTTTTACTTAAATTAAATATGTTAATGTATATCTTAAACAGTCTTAGGTACGGATATTAGATTTTAGAAGGACATTGGAAATATCGAAGACAGTCCGATGAGTTTTTTTTCGAAGGACTGTTTACCTTACTAAAATCATTAATGTGTCGCATAATACAAAGTACTATATATCAAATTGTTGCAAAATAATACAAAAAAAAAAAACAACAAAAAAAACAACAAAAAAATAATAAGCATCTTGATAAACAGATTGTTTTGATTCAAAGGTTCAGAATGGTAGACATTTTTGATAAAGTATATTTGTGATTTGAGCTGATGCATTCGTTGTTCCGGGATGTTTCCCATGATTTACATCATATCACCCTGATTTACATCATACCACTCTGATTTACATCACATCACCATGATTTACATCATATCCAATATTATGTACAGATTGGTCATAACTATGTAGTTTTCAGTACAACCAAGCGTTCCACAAGTCATTACTTGATATAATAGATGATGATTGCGCTTGTAAGTGCTGCCACAAAGAACGGGTAGACAAGAATGAAGACTATTAATCCAAATGAACCAGTCCTGCTACTGAAGAAAGTTGACCCTTCAAAGCCTCCAAAAAACATGTTCCCGAAAAATGCTGAGCTTCGTACTTGCCTTGATAACTTCTCTACGCTGAGTCCGCTAGCTGTAGCTTTCCTGATATTCTCGTTTACGTTCCGTTCCAGCTGTAAACCGTTACTGCAATAGCTTAGCATGCATACACAAAATTCCTTGGCAAACTCCACACAGTCATTCAATAGAACATTGTAGCGATGTGGCGCAGCTCTTAAAGCCGCGAACTGGAATGCAAATGTTGATACATTCATATATTTGCCAATGTAATATACCTTGTTGATTCTCTTCTTGAACGCTTTCAAAACGTCAAACTCCTTCTTGATCTTGTAAAGCTTCTGCTGTTCATTTTCAAAGCATAACTCGAACATCCAGCAAAGGAGTATGTCAGGTTTAACAAATGGGTCATCCTGGGGAACATCTTGCAAAAATTCGAGAGGGTCGTCGGATGCGTTTGGAATGCAGAGGATAAAAGCGTGCCAAGCCTTATTGATGCAAATATATACGTCGAAATCTGTATTGCCATTTTGTGTCATCGATGCTATGGTAGGGTTGTCTTTTTTCTTGAATGCCGCTACAACCTTTGGATCAAGGTCCTCCACATTGTTGACATGGTATGCCAGCGGGTCAATTAGTCTAAATGTGTTTTCCGCATTCATGGTACTACCTACAATACAGATCATGGCTTGCTGACAATCATATGGAATATCATAGCTTTCTGAATAGTCATTAAATCTGGCAGCTCTTGGCCAGAGTACTTGTTTGGAAGAATCATTTTATATATGTACATTGTGTATATAAATACTAAAATCGATTTCCGACAATCAGATGAAATATCATTGTGAACAACGTTGTGCCAATTAGCCACAATCAGTCTCAGTCCGGAGGATGATGTAAAAGTCCAGAATTTATTTCGATTCGTATATTCCCAATGATACATTAGTGGGTTAAAAACCCTCCGGGGTAAATTGTCAACCAATGGTAATTAATGTTACCAATGGTATTACAGTATCAGAGAATACCAGATGATATTATATTAATAACACATAGGTTTGTAAGTAACAGGAAAAATATCATCCCGATAAAAATACTTTTCACGAGGGATAATGTGTTTGCTGTTACATATACTTAAGGACAATGAAAACGCACGGTCGGGATAATTGCATTTTAACAAGTAAATTATATCTCTTTTAAATATTTTTTATCTGTTTCATAAAACCGAATGCATTCCGGTCATTTAGATACCAAAGTTATGAAAAATGGTTGCATTTTAATGAAGTTATTGCATAATAAAGACAGTACCCGAAAAATCAAAAGTAACACTTTTGGCTAATTGTGATAAGATTACAAAAGAAAAACAGATTGAACCAATTCATGGTTACTTTATAAAATGAAATTATTTATTTTTTTAAACTGTTAATTATTAACTTGTTTTTCACACCTTTCTAGAAATGTTAGACACAAATGAGTAATTAAAATCTTTATGAAGATGAATATTAAACTATTCCAATGGTCAGTTTTAGAAATCGTAAAAGCTCAATTGGATATTGCATATACACACTTTTCCTCTATAAAAGGTGCTAAATTTCAAACACTACTGAAGACTTGCTAGCAAATTGTATGCAAAGTTTCTACAAAGAAATAACCGCTGTGTAGATTTAGGACAGATTCAGTCTGGTCTATCTTACAAAAAAAGCGCCAACCGTTTTGGTGTCCATCGGTCTACAATTACTCGTCTTCACCAGCGTTTTCGCACTACACTACCTACTGGCCGAATGGCGTCATATTCCACAGGCGACTATCCGCACCGTAAGGTCTATAAGGCGACGATGTACATCTGTAAGAGACGCTGATGGAGGACATTGTCGTTTCTAAAGATCCCGACGGAGACATTACTAATAGACATTTAGGAGTGACTTTGTTTTCAATTTTCATTTTGGTTTTTGCCTTTGTTAAGTTTGCATTACTGTGATGAAAAAGTGTGATTTTGTGATTTCCACATTAGCTTCTTCGATTTACTGCTGTACATTTGATTTCAAACATTTTGAATTATTTTCAGTTGTTAAGTTTGCGTTTTGTATTAAAGATATGATATATATCTAATGGAATCGTAAGTGTTTTGTTTTTATATAATAAAATGTATATAGTGCGGGCGTGCGTTTTCATTGTCCTTAAGTATATATACATGTATATTGTGTTATTTATTTCATTATCCCGAACAAATACTTCATTTGGACACTGTTTCTTTACTTTTTTCATAGTTTTTTTTCTGTGGAAAAAAATCTGTTTCAAAATTTATAGTCAAATGGCGCACTTGAATAACTCCCATTGGCCTATAGGAAATTAACATTGCTAAAATAGAGGATTTTATTTCACGAAAATAAATGTGCAGCCATGCATTAAACTGGCGAGTTGGCAACTATTGATCAACATATCCTTAGTTTAGTTATAATCTATGACAATCACTTACATGGTCTGTAATGAAATATCTGCAATCACAAAGTCTTAATGTTTTGTTAGAAAAAGAAAATACCAATAATTTAATTAAGACGATAATATTCCTATAGATTTATTTAATTTAGTTTCTTGTTCTAATGTTTGTTTCATGTTCTAATGTTTGAAATATAAAAATTATCCAACACGAAATAAAAATAGAATCAGATGTTCGTATATTCTGGTTGTTTAAAGATAATTTAATGCAAAACTTAAAAAATGGAAAAAAAAAAAGAATTAAGACAGAAAATTTACCTTTAGTCTTCCAGGTACACAATAGGGTTTTCCCCAGGAGTTATTTATAGGATACAACTTTACGCTCCCAAGCATATCATATTACAATGGCAATTAGGAATATAATATTACCTCACCATATATCCCTTAACATGCTTAACCCAGGTATGAGAAAATAACGCAGGTGTCGTTCAAAAGTAACGCAGATTTGTACAAATCTTTTTGTCGAGACGAGTATCACGGTACAAAATATATGGAAAGCTGTGTCTGTCTGGTATCGTTCTTTTTTAAAAATGAATTTACCGTGTAGATACATAAGTTCAATTCGACAGTATATAAATTTTTTATATATCAATCAACCATTACAATATATGAAACTATAACATCTAGTACAAATATATAAGATCATTAGAACAATAAACGAAACCATGCCATATGTATAGCAAACTTTAAGTTGATTTCGAATTGTATGTATATAATACATTTATATATGATGCATAATATGATTATATATCAAAGCCATGTTATCAGTATATGTAAGTATGTAACCAAAGTAGCAATATATAAATTCATTTTGACATTACATAATACATACTCCATATGTCTTTATATGAAACCAAATACCGGTACTAAATATGTTACGAGTTCATTTAAACATTATATGTAACAATGTCTTATTTTTATAGAAGTAAAGAGGAGTATATAAGTTCATTTTGACATTATATGAGACCGATTCTTCAATATATGGCAACAAAGCAGTCATATTAGGATCCAGGTGTCCTTTAATTTTTTGGAATCGAATATCATTATGTATGGTTTATTTATTGTAAAATTGAAGTTATATCTATGTAATAATTTGGTTTAATGTTAGAACATTTTGTTTAATAATAGATACTTTTGTAACATTTTATTTAAGAGTATGATATAAACTATGAAATAAAACTCAGTTGAAAACTTTGACGGATTTTTTAAAGAAATTTAAAAAACCCCCAAAAATGTAATGGGTGCAGGTTACGCCCTTTACACTAAACGAAAACCCCATACCGTTTTTAAAACCTGGTAATTCGTGAATGGGGGGACAAGTTAATTAAAAAAACTAAAAAAAACTTATCTAATTTTTTTATGTTTCGCCCTCATACATCTTAAAAAATTTTTCTCCCATTTGGGCTAACATGAAATTTAAAAACATCGGGAAACCCTAGTGATTTTGTCATGCGCTTGTGAATTCCCGAATTGCATTACATTGTGTAACTATTTTTATTATATTTTTGATTGCAGTTTTTCAAAAAAAATGTTTTAACATATAGAGGGTTGATCAAAAAGTTCTTTGGCCCCATGTATTCCGGGAGTCAGGGAAACCCCAACTCATGGTCTTTCTTTTCAATATAATCGGTCTACATAATGCAAATTTGCCAAACCCCGTTCCAACTTGTTTAACCCTTAAAAAATAAATTCTCTATTTTGGTCCTAAAATCATAGACCCCCTCCCTGACATTTATTGCTTTTAAAACGTCTACCCCGAAACTTGGTTTTTTATTTGGAAACAGGGAGGTTTTTTAGTTGGAAAAAAGGGAGAAGCAAGGGACCAAGCCCGGGGAATTTGGGGGATGGGGGAAAAATTTCACAACTTGGGACGTGTGAGCTGGCACATTGTCGTACAGGAGCAAAACGCATTGCGTCAGTTTGCCCCTCCTTTTACCGAGATTTCATGACTCGGACGTCTCAATTCGTCTGCATAGTAGCTACCAGTTATGTTACGACCTTGCCCAAGATTGTCAATCATTATTATACCCTGACTATCCCAACAATTTGAGAAAAAAAATCTGGAAACAAAGTGATCCCTCGGAAGCATTAATCACAACAAAAAACAAGAGAATTGCAGACTCGATTTGATTGAGTCTGTACATGAGGGATAATGCATAGTGCAACAAATCCCCTCAACAGCCCACCTAGACACCGGCTTGAAGCGGTACTAAAAAAAAAAATTTTTTCTCCCAAAAAAACTTAATAGTGCTGGCATCAATGATCCCGAAGGACAAGAAAAATATAACAACACTGAAGTGAAGTACGGGGCAACTTTTTACAGCTGCCACAAGCCATCATCTTCCCTGCTGATGGCACCCTCTTGAATTTCTTCGGAGGGGGTGAGCCAGGGTGCTTCCACTGCATGCTCTGTTTTTTTTAATTCTGGATCGAAGTGATGGACTGTTTTATCCTGAGTTACGCTCCGGTAGATAAAATCAGGTTTATCCTCGTAGCGAGACAAAAGATATCTTGAAATGTTAAGCCTGGTCTGTTTCTGGTCGTCAGTCAACTGTCTAGGGACCCATCTAGCGGAAACCTTTGACATTCCATAGACATCAGTCAGAATCGCCTTTGAAATGAACCAAAGCTTACACTAACTTCCAAAAAAGGTAGCAATGCCTTCGCATGTCTCGCCTTCTGTCGCACATGACCAGATAGTCGTGCCACAGGCTTCGACAGTTACATCGTGTGTGGCCTCTTTTGGCCACCCAGGCCGCTTATCATCTCCAATGCTCTCCCTGCCCCTAAAAATTCAGTAGCCCATTTTTTCCACAGTGCTATAGGAAGGGGACTCCTTCCCAAGTGTATCCATGAAGTCTTCGTGGATTTCCTTGGGGGCCACCCTTTCTTACAGAGGTACTTAATGACGGCTCTGATTTCAACGTTCTCCATTTGGTCTAAATGACACACCCCTCTACTGATCAAAGTGCGTTTTATGTTACTTTATGTATGTAAAACCGCGTGTAACTCCGTCAGTAATCTTCAATAAGATATCGGTATCACAGTTCCGTGTGTGATTGTCAGTGTAGTGGCTAGAAGTATATCGGGCCGAGAACTTTTTGATCATACCTCGTAGTGTGTTTGTTGTACACAATACACGTGTGTTTAACTAATCGCTACATGATTTTGAAACTATGTTCTGAAGACTGATGCTTGTAAACATGTGTATGGTAAAAATGCCATCTTTTTGGAATTATTCAAATATCAATTTTTATATTTATTGTAAGGTTAAAAATAGTTTTCTAAGTTTCAATGTTTATTCTCTAGCCCATTGTCCGAGGCGTGCACGTCGCGGAAAAAGTACTGCAGGTCAAGGTCAAATCTTCAGGGATGATTGGTTGACCTGTCGCGATTGACTTCGGGGGCGGGCCGTTTTGTATGAAATCACTACTTCGAGTAGTTTGTCAACAAACGGAGAAAAGACTACAGATCCACGGCATAAAAACTTCCATGGTGCGGCTTCTAGACCAGACCGGATTGGACGCTGTTGTATCTTTGGTTAATTCTGGCGCTCAGCATAAATACACATAAATACAAGCAATATCCATTGTCAAGTGTACCAGAGTTGACATTTTTGTTTGAATTGGTTGTCTAGTACATTTTGTGTCCGCTTCATAACTTTGAAACTAATAAACCGTTTTTAAAATAACTTGGCACAAATGTCTATTTTTTTAGTTCCAAAGTCTCTTTACACTTTCTATTCATTCTAGTGTTCTATAGCAGCAGGTGATATAGCTGTCCTTCAGACAGCCTTGTCATTTAAACTGGTTTATCATACATGTTTCATACCCATATATCAGCGTTAAAGAAGCACGCCTCCAGATTCCTGTTAATTTTCATATAAAATTTGAAAATGTATCTAAAAATAAAAAAAAATGTGAGATGAACAAATAAAGTAATTTACATATTGCAATCGGCACTTACAATCCACGAAAATTACCAAAAAGTGGTCAACATATGCAAAAACAGCCCTTCCTGCGCTAGTAACGCAATAGAAATATGGTGATAAAATACTGCAAAATCAGTGTCAAACCGCACATTACATGTATAATATAATATTATATACTATTTCGAACATGTTATTTACCGCCAAATTTACAGTAATGAATTATATGTTAGGAAAAGACCTCTATAAGCATTGCATGCTTTCGGATCTAAGCCTTTTTCAGCATTGTATATTATGTAACCATTGATTGTATGTAATATATGTTTGTGTGAAAATGTTTGAAATAAAATATGTTTAAACTAATATAACTTTGATCTTGAATGATTTTACCTTTCTTTAAAGTTTAGAGCATTTTTTCAGTATTGATTTTCTTGAAATATTTTGGCTCATCTGGAGGCGTCCATCTTTAAAGCTACGGTAATGTCTATTGTTGTTAACCAGGAAGAATAGATGATGTAAGTATATCATATGTGTACATGTTATTTGATATCAGGTAGAGATATATGATTTCCTATACATGTTATCATATATTAACTACAGGTTCACATTCAGTTAGATATATCCGCCTAAATAGGAAGTTTAATTTACAACAAACTGGATGTGTGAGCTATTCGGATAAACAGAAATGTCCGTAAGTACCATCACAATGTTTTTTTTTCTCCACCGTAAATAGGCTAAAGTAAACGTAATAAAATAATAAGATATTAAAGTAGTTTCCAATTTAGATAACAGGTCACATATATGCATGTATGGTCACATATACATTCCTTTACTATTCCTTTTTGTTCAGCTTCGATGTTGATCTATTGCACTAATGCACTGTATTTGAAATATCTACTTTCAAGAAATAAAAACATTTGTACTTAATTCAAACGATTATTTCCATTAAGTTTAACGACAATCTGCTGATGTCCCGTTGCATGTACCAAGGGGATGAGAGAGTCTTGGTCATTTAATTCTGGCGTTCTTATGGGACTATTGTTTATTTATTTATTTATTTATTTATTTTTATTCTATTTTATTTTATTTTAAATTCTTTCTAGTGAGGAACCTAGCCAGCTAGCTTACGGAAGGTCCGTGGTTGCCTCCTCCTGTCTAAAATAATGTATAACGGGGGCATTTTGAGGTCTTATTCCGCAACTAAAGCTTTAAAGTTGACTTTGTGTGACTTAAAATCCATTTTAAATAATATTAATACATGTATATTAGTCATAATTAAGACAACGTATCAGGAACCGTTAACATTATTCAATATACATTTTTTGTAAAAGTTGGTAGTTACTTATCGAGCAAATTGAAAGTTACACAATGTTTTGATTACCATTTTTGTACACGTCGAATCTTTTTAAGCCAGTAAATAAGGTCTTGCTTTTAATTTCATTATTTTCCAAGTTAAGAACTCATGATGATACAGTTATGTTACCGTTTCGTTGATGAATTAATATATATTATTCTTTCATTTTAATACTAACCTTTCAATGAATACATTGAATGATTTGATTACAGAACATAATTGTTATTTCCTGAAACATAAATCTTCACTTGTAAAGAATAAAAGACACATAACTATGTCTCAATTATACTCATTTCTTTACGAAACTTACGTTGAGATAATATGAGCCGCGTCATGACAAAACCAACATAATGGGTTTGCGACCAGCATTGATCCAGACCAGCCTGCGCACCCGCGCAGTCTGATCAGAATCCATGCTGTTCGCTTACAGACCTCATTACAAGTAGAGAAACTGATATAAGGAACAGCATGGATCTTGATCATCTGCGCGGATATATGCGCTGGCTGGTCTGGATCCATGCTGGTCGCAAACCCATTATGTTGGTTTTGTCTTTACGGAACTTACGTTGAGATAATATGTTGATATTCAGGATCGAAACAGCTACGCTACAGCATGGGACTGGGGTGAGTGCACTAAAGATTACGTGGACACGTTCCTGACCTCTGAACCAGATGGGACGTTTCTAGTGTTTAAAACAAAAGGTTCGACAGGTTTTACTCTGGCTATCAGGTAATTGTTATGTATTTTGTAAACCCCAGTACGCATTTAAAACGACAAGAAAGAAAATGAGTTCTTCAAGAAAGGTTATGTGGTAAATTTAAGACTTCTACAGTTCAGACGGCGTACTGTTCTTTTTGTTGCACAAATAAATCTTTACGACGCTGAAGTATGTCGCTCTCTCTCTCTCTCTCTCTAACGCCATCCACAAATGTACACCTGTTTATGAAAATACTTATTTGTTACGAAGTTATTTATCAATTTTCTATAATGTATAGTTTAGATTGTATACAAATGAATATGCAATCTTTCATTAATAATAAGTAATCTTTCTGTTTGAAAATTATTAATGCTTGTCACATAGCGAAAAACGTTAAAATAACGTCTGAATTTCGGTATTTGTTAATCAAACCAAAGCGATATTCAAACATTAGATTTGAGATACATAATGAACTTATTTTTCTGGCATGTTCTAGAATTAATGGAAAGAACAAATTTGTAGAGATATTGCATGAAGACGACCTGTTTGGTTTTAGTGAACCTTTGGGTTTCGAGAGTTTAAACGACGTCCTGGATGCGTATAACTGGTCCCCACAAACAGGAAATACACTCATCTATCCTGCAATTAGATCCGATGTAAGTTATTATGTTGATATCTATATTACCCGGTTTTGTTCCGCTTTATTATTTGCTTGTTAATAATTCAGTTAATTGTATTTTATGATCGCAAGATCAGAAAATACATAGCTAACATCCACGGTCTAACACAAAATTTCCTAACAGACCTAACAACCCAAAGTAGTTCTCACTCAAAACTGCTTAAAACCAGCAATTTAAAAGACAGAATTAATTTTTAATGTAGGCATTTAACTAATTACAGTGCATTGAAAGTTCAGATTAGTCAATAGAAATATGAGGTTACAATCACAAATTTTGCTGATGAATATCATGTTGATCAATGAAATGCTATTTTTAGCTATGTCGATTACTGAATACTCCAGGACGTAGTACACAAATAAATCTGACTGCCGAGTAGTGGAATATATACATGTCGGACTGTTTATCTTGAACAAAATACCTCGAAATTGATAAGGATTACAAACACGAAAAGGAAATTCTCAATTTAGAATAACAATGCATTTGTTTTTATTCAGGCTACATATTACGTATTACTTCACCGTGGTGCAGGGGTTTTGCGCTCGTATCGCGCTCGTTTAGGGTGTGAGGGGCCTAAGGTTCAACTCTAGTCATGCAAAATTCCATATGTATCAATCTCAAACTGTTATAGAAAAAAATCGTAACGCAGTCGCTGCGTAAGATGAATTATAGTGTTTAAAAATAAACTTATATAGGAAAATACATACAGATAGTCAGTATGATTTAGATTGCAAAGATCAGAAAATACCACAGAGCTTGCAGCCCTTTGATTTTTAAATTTTGGTTAACTTACTTTATCGTATATTTCGTATCGTATGAATCGCCACATTTTATGTTAAACGTTTGTATAAAGGATATTCATTTTCTAAATAAATCACGTTTTTTCGTCTTCTTTCTTCCTCGTCTTCATATTTTCTTAATCTTCTTCTCCTTCTTCATTTTCCTTGTGTGTTGTTGTGTTTCTTATTATGCCACTTCCCCTTTTTCTACGGAATTCACCAATTGTTCATGTTTATAAGTCAATTTTACTTTTGAATAGTCCCCCCTACATCGAACAAATTCACGGAGTTCCCAGTTATCAATGCAAGACTTGGACCCATTAACTCTCCTCATGGACTTACGTTGTGCAGCAAGTTTGAAGATGAAAAAAGATGAACGATATGCCGCCATACAAGACGAACATGAATCTCTGGAAACGGTATAACTTTATAACTGCCTGTTACAAGTATCTTATGTCTGTTGTTGTTTTAATGAAAAAATATATGCACATTTGAACTGCAATAATTATGATCATATTTCCCTTAAATTTGTTCTATACAAGTCTAGATAAATGGTAGACAATTTCAGCACGGACACATGTGTAACAAAATCAAATGCATACACGTTGATATATATATATTTTAGAAGCTACAAGAAGTCACCAATTCGTTAGATGCAATCAACATCCTCATCAAAATGATTGAAGCACAAATTGAAAAGAGTAAGAATGTGAAATTCCGATCATCTATTCGTTCACAGGCGTCTGAAGCGTACGTGTAATATTCTTACTTCCGGTCAGCCCTTTATTTGTTTTTATTCTACTTAAATTTGCCGAATCAACATGTCTAGGAACTGCGTTCTTATTATGTGAAATGGAAAAATGAGAATCGCACATGCTTTTCTCAATCGAACGGCTTTCTTTTACTTAAATTTACTTAATAACCTCCATTAAACAGCACGCTAATCGTTTTCAAAACATTATGCCGTTATAAAATATTTGACAGGTTGTATGGCCTTATATAAACGGTGATTTGCTTATATAATACGGATCACAAATAATAATACTTCCTATATTTGATAAACAATGAAAATACTTTATAAATTGACAACAGCCGTGTATATTATTAGTTATAAAGATTGTTGACAGGTTATATGGCCCTATATAAACGGCTGTTTGTAAATATAACCCGAGCCGCTAGGCGAGGGTTATATTGCAAACAGTCGTTTATATATGGCCATATAACCTGTCAACAATCTTTATAACGAATTTATAATACAGCAAACATCATTTTTAGAGAAAAAAGTGAGATTTCTTCATGAATCGACAACAGCCGTGTATATAAAACTATATAAACGTCACGATTATCCAATGAAAAACGACGTTACAAACGTGCAGTATTATAAAAATGAAAAAAAAAAAAAAAAAAAAAAAAACGTCATGGTAATCCAATGTAAAGCAACGTCACAAACGTGCAGTATTAAAATATTAGTTATAAAGATTTTTGACAGGTTATGTGGCCCTATATAAACCCGCTGTTTGGAAATATAACCCGATCTCCTAGGTCATATAACCGGTCAGGAATATTTATTACGAATTTATAATACAAGCAAAGTGAGAAGTGGTCCACTAGATAATGCTTCATGTTCAATAACTAGCACTAACCGCTATGGTTTTAAAGGAGATGACGTTTAAATGTTTGACTTTATATAAATAAAAGGTAAACAAATAACCCCATGGACAAGGCCAAATTTGACCCTATGGCTATTATTTGAACATGTTGGTAGAGGTCCAGTACATGGTGTTTAATGCCAAATACCCAATGTTTTGGCCTTTATAGTTTCAGAGGAGATGATTTTTATAAGATCTAAGGTGCTTCGTCCAATATAGTTTTGACAGCTGTATGCTCGTCCAATAGAATTCACTTTTGTACAAAACACTGTATTAAATCCTCATAATATATAATGATGACAGCAATTTTAGACTTTTTATCGAAATTTGCAGATTTGAAAGTAATTTTCGGGAGCTCACTTTGAGGCTTTCAGATTTAAATAGCGAGAAACGTCAATTAACTGAGACCGTAACTGACATACAACAAGAGACAAACACAGTCGAAAAAGAGCGGACGTTCATTTACAAAGACATGCAGCAGACGACACAAGAAATAAGTACAATCAGGAGGTATTTAATCTAGCAATTTCTTGCGATTTACAAGATTGCCGCATCATGGAATCTTTTTAGGATGCACAAAAACATAAATTTTAAGGATGCACAGTACTGTGAAATGTTTTAAAGATGTACCGCACTATGGGCTATTATAAATACATATAGTAGCTATGGATTCTTTTAAAGAATTAATAGCTTGTTAAACTGTTTTAATTACACCGATATAAACGTATGCAAGCACCTTACGCACGTGTGTTGTTTGGTATCACAAACAGACAAGTCCTACATTTTCAAGAGATACAACGATAATACATATATATTATGAAAATTATAGTCTATATTATGAATGGATATATCATCACTGATCATTTTCACTTAATTCAATACAAATTAATTATTACAAATATAAATACTTTATTGCATTAAAACAACATGTTCCATAGCACAAGTACAATTTTCGATACAAATTCAATTAAGTGTAAACGCAGCTGCACGCCATTAAATGTTTATAATAAAGGTTGTTTATGTCATCCATAATTTAAAATCTTAAAATGAGCCACGTCACGACAAAACCAACATAGTGCGTTAAACTTTGCGACCAGCATGGATCCAGACCAGACTGCGCGGATCCATGCTGTTCGCTATCAGATTCTCTACTTGTAAAAGGATGCGAAGACTGGTCTCGATCCATGCTGGTCGCAAACGCACTATGTTGGTTTTGTCGTGACGCGGCTAAAATGGCGTGTCCCTCCTTTGTAGCACACTACTCAAAAGATATCCACACTTGGAGACATTTTTGGACTGGCTGCTGAATGAGGACAACCAATGTACCAGGAACATAACAGTTTCAAGTATTGATAAATCAACTGCTGAAAACATGTTAAAATCGAGTAATGATGGAACATTTGTTGTCCGGTATTGTAACACAGATGCTGATAAGCCCTTTATCATTAGCGTTCGGCAAGTATTTTATGTATTTATATATACTGATTCCTGCACGTATCTTTTTATGATTGTTCACTCAACAATATGTAATCTAATTATTTACCGGCTTTCTGAATGAACATGTTTGTTTTTAAATATTTGTTACTTATATCATTTCATCAGTCTATATGACATACAACTAATTAGTTGAAATGGATTTGCAATTACTTTCCAATTCAACGAGTTACAATGATTATCGTCATCTTTTTTTTAGCTACCAAGGGTCAACATACCATTTTCCTGTACTTAAGCACGGGGATCGTTTTGGACTAGAAGAGAGCACGTGCATTTTCACAAGTGTTGACGAACTTGTAAACTTATATTCTGAAGTTTCACTGTCTATTCACAACAGCAGATATGGTACATTAAAACTGTGTGACCATTTATTTTGTTGAATGATTTAAACAAACTTGACAGATTGTACAGTACTCGTATTGCACTTTTAAAATTGTTTACTTGTTTTGATCAATATTTTTTTCAAAATAATGTGTATTTTATTCTCCTTACATACATTTTATACAATCATCTTTAAATGACACCAGTCAGTATCCAATATTTGTTTCTTTCAATGTGCATCTTTATTATCATTTTCATACATGTATATGGTATTAAAACGATACAACGTGTATATAAATCATTTTTCAACATGAAATAATGTATATTTAAATTGCGTCCTTCCACATCGTTTTTTGGACACCTATGTCAAAGTCATGTTTATTCTTATATCAATAAATTAAACTATGTAGATTTATGGGAACTATTTATGTATCCTCAACGTATAAATATTCGTATCAGTCAATGCCTATAAGCTTTATTTAACTATACACTAACCACTGACCTATTGCATTGTCCACCAGTTTTTGTTTATGTATAAATTGAATGTGTTCTAGTGTTACATTCGACATTTGTTAATAGAATTAGTTTGGAATAAATCTGTTTAGATTTTACAATGAGTGTAGTTTCTTTGTTATCTTTTTTGTCCTTTATTTTTTCGTAGCCATTGCCGAAGTACTCTTCATTTGAAGAAGAACGAGAGAAAGCACATGTCGAGTTTCTAAAATATACATAAGGTTTTTGGGGGTCGTTTCGTGATTTTTTTTACAAAGCTGGACCTATAAGCTGTAACAAAACTTAATAAGCAACAAGAACATCGAGGTACATGAAATAGAAATTACATTTACTTTTAAGCGGAATAGAATCCCTAATAATTTCGACATAGATCTTTCTAAACATTACGACAAATTAACAGTCGGAAGATTCCTTCATTGCCAGTTTCTTTCCAGTTCCGTAAATTTCTGACTTTTAAAAAACCCGAATAACACGATGACTCCTAAACATATGAACTGTAATCCAGATTTTTCTTTAAAACATTTTAATCTGTCTCATTATAAATATATTGTTCCATATGCGGAGTTCAAATGAAATATGTAAATGAAACACATCATGTTTTAGTATGACTCAAGAACAGCTGATCGATTTCAGTTCTTAACATCACAATGTTTATAACTTTCAAAAATGGATTCTGGGTCCGTATGCAGATTATCTTATCCTTAATATGACCTTATAGATAAGGAAATCTTAAAATCAGCCTTTTTTAAATAAACATCTTATCCTATTTTTTCCCTTAAATAATATTACGATTCCCCACCCTCCTTAACATTTAGGAAGCCACATAGCAACCTTAACATTGCTCTTAGAAATAAGGAATTTAGTTTGCATCATCAATCAAAGCACAGAAGGCGCTGAATTTGTTTGGGTCTCAGAATGTAAGAAAGGTGCAGGTTGTATAGTGCCACCAATGCTTTCCAGCGTTTTAATTGTAGTAAATTGGCTATAAGACTAATTGCAACACTGATATTCAATCCAATGTTTATTTGACTTAAACAATTTGAAAAAAAAGAGTTACCTTTACTGGGATTTGAACTCCAGACCTCTCGCTTCCTAAGCGAGCCCGAAAACCCTTCAGCCACGGTGAATTTATATGTGAACGGCCTGAAGAAAACCATATTATTCTAAATTAGGGCTTGTAACGACTTTAACTGTTGTTTAACACAGATGTAAATAATCCTGGAGCTTACTATAAGCATGTATATTTATAAAGAATCAAAGGGCTGCAAGTTCTGTGGTATTTTCTGATCTTTGCAACCTAAATCGTACTGTATATCTGTATGCATTTTCCCGTATAAGTTTATTTTTATGTATTATAATTCATTTTGCAAGGCACCAGAGTTTGATACATACGGAATTCTGCATAACTAGAGTTGCATCAAAAAATCATTTATGTTCATTTTTTTACGACAGCCACACTTTATCCTTGCATATCATGGCTACTTCCTTAACAAAGACACTTAAAAAAGAATTTAACAAAAAAAAAATGTTTCCTCGACTGGGATTTGAACTCGAGACCTCTCACTCACTAAGCGAGCGCGTTACCCCTGTACCACGGAGAAGTTGTACAAATAATGTCTTAATAACATCAAGTCATTCTAAATTTAGAACTTCCATTGCATTTCGGGTTTGTAATCCTTATTAATTTCGAGGTATTTTGTTCAGGATAAACCAGTTGTTTAAAATTGAAGTAAATATTGTAGCGAAAATCTTCTCGCCCAAACAGTCCGACATATAGAATCTATATATTCCACTACTCGGTTTGTGTAGTATTCGGTAATCGACATCGCTAAAAATAGTATTTTCATTGATAAAATCATATTCATCCGCGTAATTTGTGATTGTGCATTTATTGACAATTCTATAAGCCAACGCTATTTTTAAACTTTGAATGCGTTGTAATTTGTTGGATACTTGTAACAAAATAAAAATATTTCTTTCTTTTAAATCGCTAGTTTTAAGCTGTTTTGAGAACTACTTGTTGTTAGGTTTGTCGTAAACTTCTGTGTCAGAGATTGAATGTCCGCTTTGTATTTACTTAATTTCGATCAGAAAATACAATAAAAGAATATTAGAAATCTTCGACCATTCGGGAATTACTTTGCTTGAAAATTAAGGCGCCTATCTTTGACCATCTTTACGCAGTGATCTCCCCTGAATTTTTCGGCGTTAGTCTACATACAAAAGGGAAGTAACCGCTTCAAAAAGTGGACTACTTTCGGCATTTGCAATTAACAACATTAGACTCTGAAATTTCGCTACCATTATTTGTTTGGTCTGACGACCCAAACAAATAAAAACGTCTTTTTTCTGACAGGTAAATGTTCTATGATGTACATGCGTGTTTATTGAAATGTTTTCCGTTTCAAAAAGGATTTTGTATGCTTAGTTGCTAATGTGAAGGGCCCTTATCAATATACATCTCAAGATTTTTTATTATGTTGATGATTGTTATATCATGCACCTATGGATCTCTTCATCACACATGAAGCACAACAAGTCTGATTGGAAGTCGTATGTGTCAACTATGACACATGCTTATATACAACTAATCATGTTTGGCAGAAATCCTCGACTTGCTATTGATGCGTTTCTTGGTTTGCGTACAGTCAGACTCTTTGTCTGCGGTCAAACAGACTGCATGAGTACTTTGTTAAAATGCGAGAACGAGTTCTTAACTACGGAATCGCCTATGAATGTGTTGATCTGAAACGCGATAGTCGATAGTACGATGGTGAAAACGCGAAACCACGAAACAACGATGGTGAAAACGCGAAAGCACGATGATGAAAACGCGATAGTACGATGATAAAAACGCGACAGTACGATACTACGATGATGAAAACGCGATAAACTATCGTGTTTTCGACATCGTACTGTCGCGTTTTCATCATCGTAGTTTCGTGATTTTGCGTTTTCATCATCGTACTGTCGAGTATCGTGTTTCAGATCAAACCATTCATAGGCGATGGCCCTAACGGCATTCCGTACTTAACTGCCGTTGAAAATAAGTCTTATTATGATAAAACTGTTAGCTAGGCCTGTAACTTTTATTCAAGAAAATCCTGTTGTGGTAAGAAACGTTTCGATTTGTGGAAATTATAAACTTACTGACTGATTTGAGGATCATCCATATGTGGTCGTGCGACAAACGAACCCAGACATAACCAGTCTATGAGGTGAAACGATACAAACAGTCTAGATCATTGCATCGAAATATTTTTGTCAGTGACTGATATTCGATGTTCCGCCGGACTCTACTCCACATGTGTTCAACATCTAAACAAGAAACTGAAGATCATGTTTCAGAAAGCGGATGTGACTTATCAGATAGTCTGGAAAGGTATGAAATACCAGCTTGTAGACTCCCTGGAACGAAAGGTCTCACGAAGCCATCACACCATTACAAGCCTCTGGCGCAGACAGATATGGGAATAGGGCCTCATAGTTGTTATGTATGTGTTTCGTTTAATATCAGGTGAAATGTCACAAACACAAACACATGTTCTGAGCATTTGAATTTCCCAAGTAGTTGGTCCCGGAAAAGTAAACGCATACGAAAAACATGTGAAATTGGATAAATTCCGTCCAAGCACAAGGATTTAATGTATGTGTTTTGTATTAAATATACATCATGAATCTTTTTTTAAATTTTATGCTATAATAGCGTCAACGCACGTTTATTTCGTGTTATATAAAGTCTGCAGAGTCCCTCGGAACTGTTGGAGCCCTCGCCCTACCAGGCTCGGGCACCAACCGTTCCTCGGGACTCTGCAGACGTTATAACACGAAAAAACGTGCGTTAATCCTATATTATAGCATAAAATCGGCTATTTTCCCCTCTTTTGCCCATGTTATAACGGGACCAAAACCATGTGTTAACATAGTCACGCGCTCTTGTTATAGCCCGGTTTTACCTATGCGCAATACATATAGGGCCAAGTAAACAAACAAAAAAATGACGATTTGGCCTGTTTGCCAAAGTGTTATATTGAAATTATTGAATCGAGGGAACCCTATAATAACGAACAGCTTATATTGTTTTCATTATAAAATAATTTTTTTTAAATGTTTATTTGTTTTTACAATAAATACTCAATGTTGTGAATCTAACTCTCATTCGTCATCAATTAATTTATCGCAAAGAAACTCGTAACAATTTAATTAAATAAGTCATACCACGTCGTACGTAGGCTTTACCATTTTGGTAACTTTATAGACCAGTTGGTGGATTTTACGAGTTGGTAAATAGCTCCATTAACAGAAAATTGTGAAAAATCTTGGAATTAACCAAATTAAAACATGACTTTACACATAATTTTGAAATTAACAAAAATCAAGTTTTTCCATGTTAAAGCATGACCATACACATAACTTTGAAGAAAAATTGTTCTTTTCCGGCATTTTTAAATATTTTTCATTAACAGAAAATGATGAAAAATCTTGGAATTAACCAAATTCAAGCTTTCCATGTTACACATAATTTTGAAGAAAAATTGTTCTTTTGTAGCATTTTTTTATTTTTTTTCATTAACAGAAAAAAATGAAAAATCTCGGAATTAACCAAAATCAAGTTTTTCCATGTTCAAATATGACCTTACACATAATTTTGAAGAAAATTGTTCTTTTGCCATGTTTGCGGCATTTTTTTTTCCTTAGTCCATTACTGCATGAACATTTTGTGAAAATTGGTTGTTTTCATTGATAAGCCTCCTGTTACAAGTTCAGATTGCTATGAAACTATAAAAGATGCTTCAATATTCATCAAAGTTGGCACTGATGTTAGCTGGACCATAACCTCTGTAACCTCTGTAACAGCATGCTCAATCTTAAATTTCCTATTACCATGGCAACGAGGGGACATTTCAAAATTGCCCAAAATCACTAGATTTTCTATTTTGCCTTGATTTTTTCCATCCTAATGATTTCAAGATAGAGTCAAAGGCTTTTCATCGTTGGGTATACGTTTACTTTTGATCGGCCTGAGGTCAATTTTAGCATCTCACGGGTCCAAACTCTAGTTGGCAATGAGGCGGCTGTTGCCCCCCCCCCCCTTCAAAGTAGAA